AGGGAGAGCGTGAGCGAGAGTCGCGACAATGACCCTCCCCCCTCCCGAGTCTCCTCGCCCTCTGCCCTCTCCCACCTGGCCAGGCGGAGGCGTGCTTCTGCTTGGCGGCTGTCGCGGCGACGGCGGCTGCAGCCGCGGCGGCGGCAGCTTCGGTGAGTTGAACCCCTCGCATCGACCTCCAGTTGGGCGGGTACCGCTTGACCTAGCTCAGGCGTACACCAGTCTCGAGGTCTCTAGGCATCGACCTCCAGTTGGGCGGGTACCGCTTGACCTAGCTCAGGCGTACACCAGTCTCGAGGTCTCTAGGGTTGGGGCGGCAGCCGGGGCGGGACTGGCGGCACTGTCGCCCGTGTCTGTTGCGGCGGTGTGGAAGTGCATGCGTGAGACACCGAGGTGCGGCGGGAGAGGGAGTGCGGTGGGCGCGGGAGTGCGGCCGCCTGGATGTCGTACGACGGATCGACGGCCAGGTACACCCGGAAGCAGCCTTGCAGCGCCTCGCACGCGTCGCCAGACCCGGGGTCAAGGAGTAGGACTCGTGGCGCATCCGGCGGTGGCACGGGCGGCGCAGCTGGCACCTCGTCGTCAGCAGTCGACTCCCTGGAGTCTCTCGGAGACTGTGGGAGAGCCGCAGGCGGAGGCGCGGAATAGGAAGATGTGCGGCTGCCAGAGAAGCGGTGGCCTCGAATCCTCGGCTCGGTTGGTCGAAGGAAGGATGCGTCGTTCCGCCGTAGGGAAGATGAGACCGACTCGCTGCCGAGTGCCGTCGCCTCGCCAAAGGAGTGACAGCCAAAAAAGCGCAGCACTCTTGAGCTCCAGGTGTCGGACTCGAGTCGCCAGCCAGCGTCGGCCAGCATGGGGTGAGGCAAGGGCTGGGCGGCGAGCGCGTCGTGAACGTGTCGGCCGGAGAGTACACCGGAGGCCCTCAATCAACACTGCCCGGGCCGTCCTCCGCGCGCAGCTGCGCGGTTTTTCTTTTCCTCGCAAGTAAAAGGATAAATACTTTTACTCGTGTTAGTGCCAGTGCGCGCCAGTCCCGTGCCTAGTGTCGTGCGAGGGAGTTTCGTAAAATTCTTTTACTCGCGATACACATATAATGTATATATGTATATGTGTGGTATGTCCACCCCACCGCGCCGCCGCTCGCGCCGCCTCGCCCCGGCCTCCACCGCCGCCCCCTCGCCAGACACGCCGGCGCCCGCCCGCCTCCTCGACCTCCCCACGGAGCTCCTCGTGTGCGCGCCCTCTCTCATTCACTGCGACCCCGCCGACATCGCTCGCGTTGCGGCCGCCCTCGCTCTTTCACGCCTCGCTTGCGCTGGAGGGCATCCGCTTGTGGGCGCAAGAGCGCGGCTTCGAGCTGCCGGCGCTGCCCGAGGGCGAGAGCTGCGCCGTGCGGTGGCTGTGCTATTCGGCGCTGCTGCGCGAGTCCAACCCGCCGGCGAGGGCGGCGGCAAACAAAAGGCTCAGCGTCTTCATCGTCGGCGAGGGGCGGCTCTCGTCGTGCGGCGATGCGAATTCCAACCCAGGCCTCCTTGGCCATGGTGAGGGCGTGACGCGGCTCAACACGCCGACCCTCCCTTCGATGCTGGAGCTGGGCGAAGCGAGGCGGTCGGCGCAGGCCCCCGCGGGCGGTTGCAGCGAGAGAAGCGATGTAAAAGACACTGTTGAAAGGGTGGGGAGCGGCCTGCCGTCGAGCAGCACGTCGCGCGATCCCGCTGCCGGCGACCCGATCGAGATCTCGTAGTCATGGTACTATTCAGGCGCGCCATCGCGCCCGAGGCGGTCCGCTCTGGCCCTGTAGGCCTTCCCAGACAGCTTGTCGAGGCTGTACAGAGTGCCGAGAGCATGCTCGGCAGGCTCCCGTCGAGCGACGAGCCATGCTGGCTCGTCGCGGGTCGCGAGCTCGAAGACCCGCGCGGAGCGTCGCCGAGCCTGGCGTGCCCGCCCGCTCGCCCGCGGCCGCAGGCAAGGAAGGCGAGCTTCCTGGCGTCTATGCCAAGCGCTCACATGCCAAAAGACACCTCGCAGCGCGCGTGACGTGACCGAAGCGGCACGCCTCGGCGCCGCGAGAGCAGCCGGTCGACGTCGGCACCAAGCGCGGCCGCCGGGCGCCTCCGAACCGACAGGGGCGCCGCGGCAGTAGAGAGCACACCACCCGCCATACCGTTTTTCTGGCGGGCGTCCTCTCTCAAGGAGATGAACTGGGACAAAAAGAAGAAACTCGGCCTGCCTCTTCCGACGGATAATGGACGTTGCTCCTCCTCCTCCTCGTCCACCGCCGCCGTCGCCGTCGTCGCTGCTGCCGCCCTCGCCGCCGCTGCTGCCGTCCTCTCCGCGCGGGCCTTACCCGGTCGCGCACCGCTCCTTCACCTCGCCGCTCTTTGACCGGAGCAACCGCCGCATCGACGTCGCCCAACCCGTCCTTTACAGGCACGCGGTTCTCTCAGCTGTCAGCACGTCGTGCTGTGAGTAGGTCGTCTACCCTGTCCTCCCCGAGGGCTCGACTCGCACCTTCCCGTACATTGCCTACGCGCACGGGTTTGACGACACGGGCTTCCAGTCGTACTGGCGCCTCTTCTCCGACCTCGCCTCGTGGGGCTACGTGGTGGGCGCGCCCCTCGCGTGCCAGTTTGGCTGCGACGACCGCGCGCACTGCAAGACCCTCCCCTTTGACCCGCCCTGCTTTGGCGACTCGTGCCAGCTCTCTCTCTTGTGCGCGCGTGCAGGCTTGCTTCCGTGAGCCTGCTCGGAACCCGCCTGACATAGGTGACTACTACAAGCAGCAGCTTCTCTCGATAGAGTGGTCGATGGGCGGTGCCGCCGCCGCCGCGGGCCTCCCGATCAACGTCAGCGCGGGCGTCGGCGTCGCGGGACACTCGATGGGTGGCCAGGCGACCATCTTTTCTGCGGCGTACAACGGCAGCTCGCACCGGATCCAGGCGGCGGTGAGTTGAGAGCACGCATCAGTCGGGGGCACGCGGAGCACACACTCGGGCGCCGCAGAGCCACGCCGCGGGGCGTAGCACGCGCGCATGGCTCTGCACAGGGCAAGACAGCCGGCGGACTGACTGCTCGAGGACGACTGACACCCGGAGGCGCCGGCTGCAGGCGGCGGCGATGCACCATGCCTACACGCACAGCTACCCTCCGATACCGAGCGTGCCCTTCCTGCTCTTCACCGGGACGCACGATGCGGTGGCGCCGCCGCGCTTCGCGCAGCGCCAGTACGACGCGTCGAGCGCCAACCCGCGCCGTGGCCTCGTCAACAAGGAGAGTGTACTGTGCTTCGCTTGAGCACCCGAGATCACACCCGAGATCACACCTGAGATCACCCGATCACACCCGAGATCACACCCGATCACACCCGATCACACCCGAGGTCACACCCGAGAGAAGCGCAGCCTCCCTGCAGGACGGCGCCGACCACCACGAGCCCTCGATGCACTACAACCCCTTCCTCGCCCTCGCGTCGGCCGCGTGGTTCAAGGTGCGACACGCGCTACTTCTCTCTCTGGGGAGGAGGGGGGGGGGGGGGGGGGCACACGGGACGACACGGTCCGAAACTCTGAACTGGCCGAACGCCGACGTCCGCCCGCCTCGAAGGTGTACCTTGATGGCACGCCCGACGCGCCGCTCGGGCCGACGACGGCGCAGCAGCTCCTCTTTGGGGCGGGCGGGGCCAGCCTCTGCGGCGGCGGCGACGGGCGGATGGCGAAGTGCGTGATGCCGGAGAACGCGACGGCGCGGCGGCGCGAGGCGGGCAGGGCTGGGGGCTGGGGGCGTGTTGGCGGTCTTGAGAGAGCCGGCCGGCCGGGTGGGTTCGCGGACCTCCACAGAAACACATAGGTGACGCCGCTCTCGCCCACGCGCGCGCACTAGGCTACTTGCACTTTACTGTTTACACATAATGTGGGGCTGCCTGTCCCTGCGCGCGCGCTGCCGCGCTGGCCGCTGCGGTGTGCCCGCCCGGGAGCCCGGAAGTGTGCCGCATGCGCGCGTGTGGGTGAGGGTGTGCACCGCGAGATCGCCGCGCGGTGACCCTGTCCGCCTGTCGGGGGTCGCGCCCCCGCGCCCGGCCGTGAGCTTTATTATTTTCTTCTATCCGGCTTTAGTGAGATACTCTAGTTAAAGCCGCGGCCATATTTTGCTATCGTGATGTACATGATCCTTGAAGCTTGATCCTTTTGCGCTGCATGAGGCTTGAGTGCATGTGGCGCAGGGGCATGATCCATGTGCCCGCAAGCACCCCCACCCGCATCGATGGTCCTCCATCGGATGGTGGAGGCTGGAGGTGCCCCGATGCCATGCGTGCGCGAACAAGAGAGTCCTTGTTCGCGCACCAACGACTGCCCCCCCCCCCCCCACCCCCCCCACGCCTCTCCACCTAGCTCTGGAACGCCGCGCGGTCGCCGCCGCGTCCCCCCGAGACGGAGCCGTCCGGATTGGCGACGCTGCTGTTCGAGTTCTGCCCCCCTCCGCCCGAGCCGCCGGCAAAGATGCGCTTGAATCGCTCCTGCGCCCGGGGCGGGGAGCAGAGGTGGCTGTGCAAGCGGCCCGGGCGTGGCTATCTTCCGAGGGAGGGAGGGCGTCGGGGCGGGTTTCGGGGCCGTGGGCAGCGCGCCTGCTTGAGCTCGTGCAGCCGGTTGTTGAGGTACCGCGTCTGCCCGTCGACGTGCTTGTTGCACGTGTGGCACACGACGACCCGCGCAAAGTTGAACGAGCCGCAATCGGAGCACTCCCAGTCGAGCTGGCCGTTGATGGAGCGCGCCTTGTTCGAGTCCACCTCGCTCTCGTGGTGGTCGCGCTCCCTCTCGCGCCGCGCAGGCTTCTTCGCCGAAGCCTTGGACGCCGCCGCGAGCCGCTGCTGCACCATCTCCATCTGCTCGATCGCGCTCACGCCGCCGCCGCCTCCGGCGCCGATGCCGATGCCAACGGCCGCGGCGGGCTCCGCCGGCTTGAGGTGCGTCGAGGCGGGGCCGTCGTCGCGCGCGCGCTTGAGCCCAGCGGACGGCTCCCCGATGCGGCGTGCGGTGAGCCCCGAGGCGTAGTTGTCGCGGTGCAACTTGCTGCGGCTGAGGTGGCGCGCGATGTGCCGCTCCGAGCCAAAGCGGCGTTCGCAGAGCAGGCAGCACCATGCGCCGTCCCGCACCGCGACGAGCGGGCCGCCGCTGAGCGTCGTCTCGAGCGCGCGGACGAGCTCGACGGCGGGCATTTGCCTCTACCGCGCGAACACGGCAGCAACGTTGCTGAGAACAGCTGGGTTCGGGCTCGCTCGACATGGGGTGCCATGCCAGTCGACTGGTGTGTGTCGTCGTGGTTTCGTATTACACGTATCAAGAATATTCACACTCACACGTCACGGGCCAGCTGCACGCGAGAGTTGTTGTTTTGTTGTGTTGTTGTGAGAGAGATTTTTAGCAATACCAAACAACTCTAACACTCACACGTCATTTGGGGCCTGGAGCCCTGTTGTTGCACGCGTCGCCCAGTATCAAAATTGAGGGTTTTTACATGGGTCGGGAGGGCAGCTCACGGCGGTCACGCTGCGCGCACCTTGAGTCGCGAGGCGATGCCCGATGGCGATGCCGCGCGCGACGACTCCTCTCCCAAGTTACCCGACGTCAGCCTTCCGCGATTCGATCCCGCAGCCAAAAGCTGCTCGCTCGAACCGCGGCCGACTCCGCCATCGCGGCCGCAGCTGTTGAGAGCATCTCGCGCGACACGGCGGGCGCCTATTTACTTGTGATTTAGACCTTACTTAGGTGTAATGTGTAACTTATCACAATCACTTGTCGACACGCGATGACGGCCTCGTTGAACAGCCTCTGCAGCACCTCCTGCTCCTGCGAGGTGGGCACCTCTCCCTCCGGCTCGCCCTCGTCCTCCTCCTGCTCCACCTGCTCTTAATCACCTCAGCAGCTCAACAGCCAAATCATTGGGAACTACCCCTAACTTAAGCGATTACGATTGGGGCCGCCCCTCCGCGTCCGCCTGCGTCTCGTCCTCCTCCTCCTCGTCCTGCTCGAGCGACTTGAGCAGCCGCTCGACCAGCTTCGCGTGCGAGCGCGGCAAGCGCGTCTCGCCGCGGTCCTGCAGCCGCTGCTTGAGCACGTCGACGGAGAGGCCCTCGAGGTCCTCCTCCTCCTCCTCGCCATCCTCGTCCGTCGGCGGCACGCCTTGCCACACGATGGGCGGCAGCTCGGCGGGCCGCTCGCGCTTCGGGCGCAGCCGGCTCGGGAGGTGGTGGCCGAGGCGCCGCCGGATGGCTTTGAGCTGCGGCATCGAAGGCGAGCCCATCGGGTCGGGCTTGGCGCGCTGCTTGAGCATGATACGCACCTCTGCCGTGCTCGGGTGCGCGCGCGCCTGTGGAGAGATATAGCATATGCGCTGGGATGTGGGCGCCCACCTATAGACAAGGGCTGGCAAAGAGCTAGGGAAATCTCGGTACCCATGATTATACTGCCTCACGTCTCATGGTCAACAGCTTGCCGGGGCAAGCCGTTTACATGAGAGCGGGGGGTGCCCCGAACGCACCCCTCTTGTTCGGGATCATGACGGGGCCGCCTTTGGGGGCGAACCGGCCCAGCGACGCCGCTTCTCTCCCGAACGTGGGTAAAGGCACAGCCGTGTATGTGTGCATGTGTGCATGTGTGCGTGTGTGCATCTGTGTAATGGGCAGAGCCTGCGGCGTGAGGTTCTTGAACTCCTTGACCAGCTCCTCCATCCAAACGTTCGTCAGGTAGAGGGGCTTGTAGTGGCGGTGGAGCACCGCGCGCAGCTCGTCCAGCGGCGTGCAGCGACGCGAGGCCCGCCGCCTTGACCAGCTTTGCAAACTTTTGCAGCGCCGACGCGTTGACCGTGCCCGGCGCGCGCGCGAGCTGCTCCGGCGTCAGGAACTGGTTGAGCCGCATCGCAAAGTCGATGGAGATCTCCTCGTCCCTATCATTGAAAGTAGCAGCCCAAAAATCGCGGCACCCCACTTCGATTTGGTCGATTTGGCGGCCCCCTCCCGACCGCGCCCGCCCCTGCCTCCCGGGGGCCCGGCCGACCATGCCAGCCGCCGCCCGGCCGGCCGGCGGGCCCAACCCGAAGTGCCCGGCCGCTCGGCGGCGCCGTTCGGCCGACGGGGCCAGCCGTGCGGCGCCCGGTCGCCCGCCACAGCACCGAGCCTGACCGGCCCACGCGCACGGCCTGGCCTCGACCGCCACTCTCTGCGGCGGAATCGGCACCGTCGGCGCCCTCTGGATCCTCCTGGCACTCCTCGGCTTCCTCCCGACGGTCGGCGGCACCAACCCCGTGCGCTTTGAGTCAGATTCGATCCTCGGCATGCGCATTCAGAGCCACTGGTTGCCCACAACTGGACAGTACCTTGCGTGTCAGCGGGACACGTACACGAATGTGACCGGCCGGGATCTGCAGCTCGAGGCGGGACGCACGACTTCCCTCTTCAAAACCATGACCGAGACACTCGACCTCGCCCGTACCAACATCGCGAGCGGCGTCAAGGAGGACGATTTGAAGCCGATCCAAAGACCTGCTAAACGGACCGTAGTCCGACGGACGTCGCCCAGACGTACATGCACGACCCGGCCATGACGAACACGACCGCCCTCACCAAGGGAACGAGCTACCTCAGGAAATATGTCTGAAGGCAACAGAACACTCGGGCCGCTTCGTTCTCAACGACAGCGCTCGCACAAGGCCGTCCTCATGGCGGAGGTGCGATGACGTATTAGACTACATTTGGAAGCAGAAAATGTTGCTGCAGGACAAGACTTCAAAGATCGAGAAGCTGCAGCAACTCCTACACAGTGAAAGGCAACGTATGGAGCTACTGATTGGAGCAGTTTTGGTATGCGTCTTCCTCCTCTCTTTCCTGAAAGCGTTGCGGGATTGGCTTCTGCCGCGGATCCATGGCGAGGTGCAAGGCGTGCCTGTCAGAGCAATCAGAGGGGCCGTTCCCGCAGCACGACTGGTTCGAGAGTTGTTGTCGACGCCGAGACGGTGGACAACTTCACGGCTTGCCTTCTCCGAAGTCTTACGGAGAGAGAGTTGAGAGAGAGATTTTTAGGAGGCCAATGGTCTACAATTCACAACGCTTCCAATATTGTGTACCAGAGAGATAGGTGTGAGAGCTGTGGGAGCGGCCTCTTCAACTGAGCCAGTTGGTTAGAGGCGTGTGTGTGTGTGTGAGTGGTTGCTACTTTCAACGATCGGCGTCGTGTTGCTCCTTGGCGAGCGTGACGCTCTTTGTATAGCCTTAAGGAGGCTCTACGACCGGCGGAGGCGGTGAAGGTGGCGGCGGAGATGGCGGAGGTGGATTGGCGAGGCTGAGGATTGTCGAACAATTCTGGCCGCCTGACAGCGCTCCACGCAGGAGCCTCTCACCCATCTCTTCGAGAGACAGTGTGGTCTGGGTGGCCCACGCGTCTGCGATTTTGACCAAAATCACCCCGTTTTTGCCCACATTTTCGGTCGTCCGTCAAAATATCTGAAGATCTGAATGGGGGATTCTCCCCAAACCTTGCTCAGCTGATCCAGCATGGGTCGTAGGCCAGGCCTGGGCAAAGAAACCAGTACCTCAACCGGCTTCCCTGAGCGTCACAGCTCGGTGATCGCGCCGGCCGGACACCACTGTAACGTCCGTTCCGGGCATTTGAACGCGACCTTCGGGGGCAAAGACATGGGCTCTATGGCTCAGACTGGACTCCTCTTGGTCCCTTCTGATGCCCTAGGCCACACCTGGGCCTTACCCGGGGTCGTAGGGGGCGGGCAGGGTTTGCCCCCCGAAACTGGCATGAAGGACCTTAACATTCACACACACTGGAAAATTTGAGGCAACCCAATGATCACGGCCGACTTAGCCCGCATAAGAGGCTCCCGCCGATCTTAGACCGCGTAAGCACCCCAGCGTGACCGGTCACACTTAGACCTGTTAAGCCTCGAGGCTCAGAACTTAGCCTACTACCCAACCAGTGAAAATGCCAAAAACCCCGGGTAAAACCCAAAAATACCTGGGGGTTTCCGGGTATTTTCGGGTATTACCCGCACTGGACGCTGGAGATCGTCGTGGGTCACTGCCAGGCCTTCCTTTATTGTTGTTCAGCCGGCCTAACGTTAGCTACTGTTGTTGTGGGGAGCCCCACTGTTGTTCTGTTGTTACTGTTAACACTAGCAACACTGTTCAGCTCTTAACGTTTGACAGCTCTAGCTCTCCGTCGTGGGTGCGCTCATCGCACATCGCCTCATCGCACACGTCGGTCTCGACTCTCGTGCGCCAGGGGGTCGTGCGTCTCACTCTCAGAAGTCAGATCGATGACAGAATCGCGGCCTGAGGCTCACAGGACCTCAGCGCCTGTGTGACGCCTCTCACCGCGGTCCCCCTCTCCAGCGCAAGCGTAGTCTAGTATAGTCCGTTCTCGCTACGAGTATCTAGACGATATGCTCGGTATCAGTGCCCCCGACTCTCCGCCAACTCCGGCGACAGCCGCTACGCAACGCAACGTCCCGCCCACCGCAACCGTCCGTCTCCACACACTCGGACTAGCGTCACCCCCCGATCTCGCAGGTGATGGGGCGGCGCAACGCCACCCTCCTTTCCGGCTTGACATTCTCGTGGCCATATACGCAGTGGCGGCAGCCGCTCCCGCAGCAGTAGCCGCGCCGCGAGGAGGCGAGCTGCGTAAAGACAGAGTAGCCTGTCGCCGGGTCCGTGTACTGCAGCTTGCCTGCCCAGTTGAGGGCGGGGATCCGGCAGCGTGTAGTGTATCCGGAGCACCGCGGGAATACCGGGGCTGGTGCAGGAACCTTAAGCTACAGGTACCGGTGTGCAGCAGCTTCGAGTGCCGACTGGAGCGGTGTGCGGATCTGGTGTTTCGCATCTAGACCGCTTGCCCGCGCGCACGGCGCACGCATGCGCCTCCTCGATGTCCGCGATCGCCTTCTGCTCGGCGGCCGCCTCTTCCTCCGGCGAGCCGCCCGCCGCCGCGCTGGCCTCGTCCCGTGGCAAGGAAGAGGAGGGGGGGAGCCACTCGCACGGGAACCGGTGCGGCGCCGCCTCGGGCACGCCGTGGACCGCCGAGAAGAGCCACTCGAGCGCGTCGACCAGCCGAGGGCCCGGCCTGCTCGCAGCCAGAGGGGTGTGGGTGTGGGGGGGGGAGGGAGGCCCCTCGCCCGCCCGCATGGGGCCGGCCGCGCCGGTTGAACATCGCGTCGCCGTCGACAAGCACAACGCGCCCCTCGCGGACCTGGTGAGGTCAGGTAGGTAGGTGAGGTCAGGTCAGCTTCTCGCGGTCCTGCGCCGTGAGACAGCAGAGTCGGGGCGGGAGTACGGTCTCGTGCCGTCGCAGTCAGAGTACATCGCGTGAAGACGAGGGGTACGGGCACACGCCGCTCGACGTGCGTCCTCTCGCGTGCTCGTGCGCATGCACGGCGTCTGCAGTCCGCTTCTAGGCTCGCGGAACCTTCTAGGAACCTTCTAGTCTGCAGTCCGCTTCTAGGCTCGCGGACCTAGAAGGTTCCTAGAAGGTTCCTAGAAGCTTCTAGGCTCGCGGACCTAGAAGGTTCCTAGAAGGTTCCTAGAAGCTTCTAGGCTCGCGGACCTAGAAGGTTCCTAGAAGGTTCCTAGAAGCTTCTAGGCTCGCGGACCTAGAAGGTTCCTAGAAGGTTCCTAGAAGCTTCTAGGCTCGCGGACCGCTCGTAGCGAACGCCACCACTCCGTCCTGGCGAGGGCGGTCGCCTAGAAGGCTCCTGGAAGGCTCCTGGACGGTTCCTTGTCCCCGCCCCCTGGCTGAGGGCGGTCGCCTCTCGGCGGGTCATGTCCAGAGTGAGCCCGCACGGGGCGAGAATGACCAGGTCGGGGTCCGCCTCGACCACCTGTCATCCGCGGGGGGTGTCAACGCACGAGTATTCATCATCCATGGCCGGGGTGCGTCCAGCTCGACCACCTACAGTCACGTCGAGGACGTGTCGCGGGCATGTCCTCCAGACGCAGGCGGCGGAAGCAGAAAGTCCACGTGCGCCCACCGCTGAGGGCGGCACCGGGAACGACTTCCCGCCGCCGCTCTCTCCGCCGGCGTTGAGCGGGTGCTCGCCGCCCGCCCGCTCGATCAGCTGCGGCGTCCAGTGCCCTCCCACGTACAGCGGGTCCGACCACTCGATGAAGGCGACGCGCGGCCTTCTCCTCCCCTCGCCGAGCTGCCGCCGCCGCTGCTCCACCCGCCGGTCGACCGCCGCGATCCGCTCGACCAGCGACGCGTGCGCCGCCCTCGCCTCCTCCGCCATGCCGACCGCCTCTCCGAGCTGCAGTACCTGAGGGGGAAGTGAGAGCAGGCTCCGCAGCAGGGGGAGAGGGAGGGAGGGAGGGAGGGAGGGAGGGAGGGAGGGAGGGAGAGAGAGAGAGAGAGAGAGAGAGAGAGAGAGAGAGAGAGAGAGAGCTGGAGAGAGGGGGAGAGAGAGAGAGAGAGAGAGAGAGAGAGAGAGAGAGAGAGAGAGAGAGAGAGAGAGAGAGAGAGAGAGAGAGAGAGAGAGAGAGAGAGAGAGAGGAACAGGAGAGAGGAGCACACGTTGGCGAGCACGTCGTCCAGGTTGAGCGGGTTGAGCGACACGACTTTCGGCCGCGGCGTCATCTTGGCCGCGAGCCGCTCCACTGTCTGCAGGTCGATGGCGCACACGGAGCAGATGTCTTGCGTCAGGATGACGTCGGGAGACAGCGACTCGATCAGTGGCGCGTCGAGCGTGTAGAGCGACTGGCCCTTACCGATCGAATCTGAGACAACGCGGTCGACCTCTGCGGCCGTGGTGAAGGTGGTCGTCTGGCCCGTGATGACCGGCAGAGACGTGATCTGCGGCGGAAAGTTGTCCTCGTGCGACCGGCCGACGAGCAAGCGCTCGCCGCCGATGAAGCACAGGATCTCGGTGGCCGACGGAAGGACGGAGGCGACGCGCATGCGAGAACTTCAAGCCAGCGGTCACTGCGCCGTCTTGCTTGCCTCGCGATGGTTTCTTTTTTCTGCCGATAAAGCTCATCGCCGGGGGCGAAACTGGGCTCTAGCGGCCGGGGGCGGCCGGGGAGGGCGGGTATAAATAGGGCGACTTCCGACCAAGGCGACCGGTGACTTTTTTGCGAGCTCCCTGCCTGGACGTGTCCGACGCTGTGTCTCGCGCAAGGCACGATGGGCAACGAGGTCTCGAGCAACGCAGCTTCGACGCACACGCACGCCATCGCGACGCGAACAGGCGACGTGCAGGACTGGCACGGCGAGACGCTGCGGAAGGGCGTCCTGAAGGTTCTTGGCGTTGGTGATGTCGTGCGAGTCAACGTCCAGAGCCTCAAGGACGGCAAGGATGTCGATGGCGGCGCGCCGTATTTTGAGATCGTGAAGATCAAGCACGGCACCTTCTGGGGCCGCGCAGAGAATACGTACGGGCCTCTCCACTGGATGCGCTCCCTTGACGAAGGCACCATATTCCCGTTCCGCGCAACCAACATCATCGAGGTGCCCATCACGTGGCAGAGCAAGAAGCAGCAAAAACGGATGGTGCCTTATTGCACAGGTCACGGCCGATGCATCACGGGCATGACCCATGGACGCTGAGCACGACGCCGGCGAAACGACGTAACTGCAGCATCTGAGATATTTCGTTCAGAACGTCCTTGCCCCGAGGCTCACGGCATGCCGCGTCGGGCGGCTGTGAGACGGAGGCCCGCCAAGCGAGTGCGAGCCGCATCCGCGGCCATGTCTCCCGCAGCCGCGAGCGAGCAGCGCAAAGAGGTCGCGCATGCTGGTGTAACGTCTGTCTCAGAAAACTCGGCGTATTTTTCTTTTCTCGCGATGTCAGCCCCCGCCGCCGCCGCTCCCTCGCCAAGCACGCCGCCGGCCCGCCGCCCACCCGCCTGCTCGACCCGGAGCTCCTCGTGCGCGTCGTCTCTCGCTGCGACCCCGCAAACATCGCTCGCGTCGCGGCTCGCTGCTCTTCCACGCCTCGCTGAGCAATAAGGAACATTAACAAGTAACTCCCAGTTTTTCTAGCTCTTAGCATGAGCTGTGCCCTGTGTCCGACCCCTTTTGCGCAGCAACACCTTAAACTTTTAGGCCCTCCAAATTCGGGTCGGAGCGTAGCGGAGTGGGCCCCGAGTTTGAAAAGGGCGACGGACGCTTGCGTCCTAGCCTCCAACAACGCCTCCCCGGCGCAGAGGGGCCCCCGGAGGGATGCTCAACCGCTCCACGCCACGCCGCTTGCGGCGGTCCTATTCCCAGCTTCGCTCAGGGTTACGCGTTATTCTTTTTGAGCTTAGCCTTCTTTGTTATGAAACAACCCGAGTATTCTTTTTTCCAGCTCTCCCGCTCCGCGCGCCTCTCGCGCGGCGCCCGAAAGCATGTCGACGCCCGCTACATCAGCCCACGACGGCCAGTCGGGCACCTTCCCGGACCTGCAGAAGCTGCTCAGCCGGACGGGGCCGATGGCCAACGTCGGAAACTACGGCACGATCTTTGACCCGCCGCTGCCCTTTGAGCCGTCGCCCGAGATCCTCTCGTTCATGCAGCAGCACGCGCGCGTGCTCGTGGTCGGCGCGGGCGGACTGGGCTGCGAGCTCCTCAAGGACCTCGCGCTCTCCGGCTTTGGCAAGATTGACGTCATCGACATGGACACGATCGACGTCTCGAACCTCAACCGGCAGTTCCTCTTCCGCAAGGCCGACGTCGGGCGGCCAAAATCGACCGTCGCCGCGGAGTTCATCATGAAGCGCGTCTCCGGCGTCACCGTGGAGGCGCACTTCTGTCCGATCCAAGACAAGCCCGCCGACTGGTACCGCCAGTTCCAGGTCATCGTGATGGGGCTCGACTCGATCGAGGTGTGCACTCCGCACTCCTCCCTCCCTCCCTCCATCACTCTCTCCCCTCCCGCCGCAAGCAACCCGCCCACCACGGCCCGCCCCCTCGAGGCTCGACGGTGGCTCAATGCGATGGCGTGCTCTCTGGTGACCTTCGAGGTCGACATGGAGACGGGGCAGCGCAAGCCCGACCTCACCTCGGTCATCCCCCTTGTCGACGGCGGCACCGAGGGCTTCTCGGGGCACGCGCTTGCGCATCCCCTCCCCCCCCCCCTGCGACATGTCCACGACGTGTCCGAGACACGTCCCTCAGGCACGTGCGCGTCATGTACCCGTGCGTGTCTGGCTGCTTCGAGTGCACCCTCAACCTCTTCCCGCCGCAGCAAGCCGTGCCGCTCTGCACGATCGCAGAGACGCCTCGCAACGCGGCGCACTGCATCCTGTGCGCGGGCGCCCCTCCCCTCCTCCCCTCCTCCCCTCCTCCCCTCCTCGCCCCTCCCTCTTCTCCTCCGCCGTACAGTGCCCCTCCTCCAGCCTGTCCTCCCACCAGATCGAGCCGCCGTTCACAGCTCTCTCCCTCTCCTTTGAGCGCGCGCTGGCCGCGGCTGCGTGGCAGGTACGCGCACCTGATCGAGGCGCCAAAGCAGTTTGGCGACGAGAAGCAGGACAAGGACGACCCCGCCTACCAGCAGTGGGTCTTCCAGCGCGCCGAGGAGCGAACCACGAGATGCACTCTCCCCCCCTCCCCCTCTCCCTCTCCCTCTCCCTCCCTCCCTCCCTCCCTCCCTCCCTCCCTCCCTCTCCCTCTCCCTGCCTCCCTGCCTCTCCCTCTCCCTGCCTCTCCACCGCCGCACCGCCGCACCCCCCCCCCACACACACACACTTCCCTGAACACGCCCCTTTCCCCCTTGCTGTCAGGAGCGCGCGGCGCAGTTCAACATCCCGGGCGTCACGCTGATGCACACGCAGGGCGTCATCAAGAACATCATCCCCGCGATCGCCTCCACCAACGCCATCGTCGCCGCCGCGTGCGCCAATGAGGTCTTCAAGGCGCGCTCGCCCGAGACAACGCCCCTGAGATGTCCCCCGAGATGTCCCCGAGAGTAGCCGAGAGGAGCCGAGAGGGGCCGAGAGGAGCCGAGAGGAGCCGAGTTGCCGAGAGGAGCCGAGAGGAGCCGAGAGGGGCCGAGAGGAGCCGAGAGTTGCCGAGTTGCCGAGAGGAGCCGAGAGGAGCCGAGAGTTGCCGAGAGGTGCCGAGAGGAGCCGAGAGGTGCCGAGAGGAGCCGAGAGTGCACGCGCAGGTGCTCACCAATTGCGCGGCGTACGTCAACAACAACTTGATGTACATCGGCGGGCAGGGCGTCTACGCGCCAACCTTCCGGTACGAGCGGAGCCCCGAGTGCATCGTCTGCGGCGCGGGCGTGCAGGTCGAGACCTCGGCCAACCTCGGCCACCCTCGGTCAACCTCGGCCGACCTCGGCCGACCTTGCAGCCAGCCTCTTCTCGGCTCATCTCGGCCGATCTCGTATGCGGCGTGGGCATGCAGGTCGAGATCGCAGGCTCGGCTATATCTCGGCTATATCTCGGCTGTATCTCGGCTGTATCTCGGCTAACTCTCGGCTACCTCTCGGCTACCTCTCGGGTATATCTCGGGTATATCTCGGCTGTCTCTCGCAGGTCGAGATCGCGGGCTCGGCGACCCTCACCCAGCTGCTCGAGCAGCTCGCCGCGGACCCTCGCCTCCGCCTCAAGACGCCGTCGCTGCGGTGCGAGGCGGGCGCGCTGCAGGACGACCCGACTCTGTACATGCGCGGCGTGCTCGAGGCGGAGTACCGACCCAACCTCGACAAGCCGCTCTCGCAGCTCTTCGCTGACGGCTCCGTCCTCCTCGTCACCGACCCGAGCGTGCCCTCGCCCTGCATCAAGGTCGCCGTCAAGTTCGCCTCCCTCGCGCTCTCCTGAGGTCCGCCGCCGCGGTTGCGCAGAGGCCGCTCTGGAAGGTGCGATTGCTCAGTTGACCGCTTTGAGGGTCCGCCGCCTTCTCTGGCCACTCCGCTGGCGTGCTCCAGCCTCCGCCACCGGTCGGCTTGCCCCATCCCCCTGCCACAGAGGCGAAACGATGGCAACCACATACACAGCTCTACGTGAAGAGTTCCTACAGCGTTCTGGGCGCGCGGCTCTTTTGCTGGTCTCGCAAATTGTTTCTCTCTTCTCTTCTCACGTGACGGTTGAACTGTGTGTTGCGCGCAGAGAGGTTGCGCGTAACACACACACCGACCCGCGGGCGCGAGCACATGCACAGGGCACGTGATCGGCTGTCACACGCTGAACTTGGCGCCGCGTGTCGGGGCGTGCCGCCCCGCGGCCCCGCCGTTCCGCCGCCGGCGACCACGCGCAGAGTCCAGAGACCCTCAGAGAGAGAGACGAAGAGATCGTCGAGGTGCCGGCCGCCGAGGCAACGCCGAGGTCAGACCGCCGCGCCTCGCAAGCCCCTGTGCGCCACGCCAAGGGACGATGCAATGTGCTTCCGCCCCGCCCCGTCCGAGCGGTTGAACGAGGCGTCGAACGGGCCGTAGTGATTCCAGGCGCGCACGTCCTTCCTATGCTTGACAAAGGCGACAAAACGCTCGTTGATGGTGATGCGCTCGTAGGGCAGGTTCGCCTGGAGTGCGGCACCGCGAAATGAGGGTATCGAGGGCGGGGAACGCGCACTCTCGACGACGCGCGCCTCGATGTACGAGATGGTCGCGGCGACCGACGGCATCAGCGTGTCGTCAATCACGAGGATGCCGCCGGCCGGCATCATCGAGTTGATGAGCGCGAGCTCGACCATGTTGTCGTCAAACTTGTGGCCGTCATCCATGTACCCGAGTTGAACGCACCTGCAAATAGGCCGGGCCCCTCAAGCTGCAGTCGAGGGAAAGTTGGCCCCGGCGAATGGGGCCTCACTCGCCGCCAGCGACCATCCGCGCGAGGCCAATCGAGGCTGGCAGCTCTAAGAGCTCGAAGTTGACCTCATCGGAGGCGCACGTGCCCACGAGGGACTGCAGCCTCTTCTGCCCGACGCCGCGCCACGCCGCGCCCTGGTACGGGTCCATCGCGCTGTGCTTGAGATGGATGCCGGCATTGCACGCCGCGCCCACCACCGCGAGCGCAGAGTAGCCGAGAGCAAACCCAGTCTCCACGGAGCGGATCGGCTGCCCGGGCTGGCGCGCTGCTAGCCAGCGGAGGGAGCGCCGTAAGAACTCCATCGAGTCCCGCGACGAACCGCCGGGGGTGAGGCTGCCGCCCGTCGACCGCGGTGCAAAGGCTGTCGACCGGTTCGGGGCGACGGCGTGCGCACCATCCTCGTCACGAGCGGCGGCCATGGCCTCCTGCACGAGCGGCAAGGCGTCATCGTCCCAGCTTAGATTCCGTGCGAGGCTCTCCGCCAGCTGCGCCACGTCCAGCGAGCCTGGCCTCACCCAATCTGCGCAGTGGCCGTTCCTTCCGAGCCCGCCGCCCATGGCCTTGCCACCATCGCCAGGCTTGCGAAGCGCGTGGGTGCAGGGGGGTAGTGCACCGGCGGGACCAGCCATGGAGCAGCGCGGGAGGCCGATGGTCTCATACTCGAACGATGCGGGCGCGGCTCGGTGGAGCAGGCCCAGCAGAAGCGGGACACGCATTGCGTGTCAGCTGTTGTTTGCGTGTCGCGCGTCCTTTGGTGCGATTTCGGCCGCGATTTTCTTCTTTCTCTCTCGACCAATTTTATTCATTCGGGAAGCCGCGCAGTCTCTTGGGGTATTGCAATACAGACGCCGGGTGGGAGGGGGAAAAAGAAAAGTTACGTATCTCTCGTTCGCTTGCCTTTTTTTTCGAGCCACGAGCGCCGTACCCCCGCCCCCCGGAACAAACTTCCGCCGGTTATAACCGACCAAAGTTGGAGTAACGGCGACCGCGTTCGCTCGCCACAATGCAAGCCGCCCTGTCGAGCAGCCTTGACGGCGCGCATGCGCCGCAGGGCTGCCGCAGGGTGTTGACCGACAGCCGCGCCGCCTCGAGCCTCTCGCTCCACGCGCAGCACGACGCACCCCGCGCGCCAGTCAGCGCAACAGGAGTATTGCGACATGCTGCCCAACACCGAGGACAGCCCTGAGAAGCTGGCGCCAGTCGCCCACCAGCATGCCTCAGCACCGGGCGAGGGAGCATGCTGGCCTGCGCACGCTGATGCAACAGGAGGTCACCACGTACTTCTTTCTTATCTTTCTTCTTTCTCGGAGTCGCTTGGCGGCTCCCGTAGTGTACCTGTGTTAGTGCCAGTGCGCGCCAGTCCCGTACCCAGGGTTCCAACTTTTTGCGGGGTATGGTATGGAGTATGCTCAGTATGGTAGAATCGGCCAACCCAGCTCAAGACCATACCCCCCGCCTGCTGGCAGACCTGCTTGGGGGTATGGTAGGGCTAGTCTTGGGCGGTGTCAGGACCATACCCCCACCCCTTTGGGCCGCCGATCTTACCATACCATACCCCGGAAAAAGTTGGAACCCAGTGTCGTTCGTGCGAGGACCACCGAGGTGGGAGTTGTTGTAGATAAAATTCTTGTCCATGAGCTCACGACACTGACAAACCTCCCTTGGATTCCCTGTTTTCTTTCTTTTGAGTACAGCCACGCCTGCTATTCACAGCACAAGCCCTCGCCGGGGGCTCGAGGAGTGCAGCGAAAAGCAGTGAGGTGTGGTCTGTACTCGCCAGGGTCGAGCGCCTCCTCCAACGCAGGCCCCTAATTTGTTGTCTTCGGTCACCGCCAAGCTTGTGGCGCCATGACCATCCAAAGAGAGCGTGCCGTTCTCGCCCTCCTCCCGTCCCTCTTCGCCTTGCAGCTGCCCAGCAGCGCCCGCTGCCGCCATCCGACGCTTCTCTTTCGGCAGGACGCTTCCCCCGAAGCAGCCTGCTCCGTCGTCCCGACACTTGCATTCCGCAAGGACGACGCTCCCGAGGCGGCGGTGCCAGACGTGGCGCTCACCCGCTCGCGTGACGGCTCGACCGGCACGGCAACCTTCCGGTTTGACAATGCGACTGTCCTCAGCCTCGATGACGTCTGGGACAATGGGCTCCTCACCGGGCTGTGGCTGCGCGACGAGGAGGGCGAGCTGCACACCCGCGACCTGGATGTCGAGTTCGAGCGTGGACGGCCAGCCCGCGTGGTTGCGATCCTCGTGCTCAAGAGCGTGCAGGTGCAGCAGTCACAGGGTGTGTGGGGAGCGAGCCGGCGGCGGCGCGCCTGCGGGCAGCTCTGCCTGCGGCGCGGCGCCACCCGGCTCGCGCCTTGCCCCGACGGCCCTCGCCCCTCGGCGCAGGAGTGGCAGCGTTTCATCCGCTTCATGGAGAGATACGCCGAGGCCAACGACCTGTCGTACGTCGGCGGCGGGAGGAGCGGGAGCAGGGAGCCGGGCGTGGATTGAAAATATACAGGGCCGAGGCCGCGTGAAGGCACATGGGCGCGCGTGTGTATCCAGTCGGCATTTCATCTTGTTTCTCTTCCTCTGAATCCACGAGCTGTCCCTTGGCGCGCCCCGGCCAAAAGTCGACGATCCTCGCTCGCCAATTGAAATTAATATATCCGCTTGTGTGCGGCCGCGCACCAGCGATGCGGCATGGCGTGGCGTTGGTCGTCGGACGTTGTACCGTATGTGAGGACGATCGCAGTGCAGGTGGAGCGGCCCCCGAGAGCAGCAGAGGAGCCACGACAACGCGCCGCCGTCAATGCTACGCCGAGGCGTCTTCCGCATCGCCCTGCGGCTCGCACGGCTCCTCATACAAGCGCTTCGGCCAGCGCCCAAAGTAGTTCTCCTCGTACCAGCGCCGCATCAACGCGGGCGAGCCCGCGCTGACGGAGGAGACCTCGTCCCAGCGCTGCAGTGCGGGCCGCGGCGTGTGGATCCAGCAGCGGTGCCGCTCCTCCTGCAGCTGCATCAGGTACGCCTCCGTCGACGAGCCAGGACGCTCCGCGTACCTGCGAGATCACCAGAGGTCACACGAGATCACCCGAGATCACCCGAGATCACCCGAGGTCACCCGAGATCACCCGAGATCAGAGCCCGGACGCTCCGCGCACCGCTGCAGCAGCCACCTCGCCGCCGCGGCTGACAGCGCGTACGCCGACGACATCGCGACGCCGACGGCGCGGTGCGGCCCCTCCACCGCCGGTCCGAGCCTGCGGTGTGAGTAACCAAGATGCGTGAGTACACCGAAGCCAGGATGCGACTGCGGTCTCGTGCGGTGTGTTCAGAGCGCCGCGTGCATACACGGGATGCGAATACAATCGATGCGGCGGGATGCGGCGGGGTACAGTGCCCGCTCGAGGGGGGGGGGGGGGGAGGGGTAGCTCGTCGGAACCCGGGTCGTGGGTCCGGGTCGGGGCCCCTCATCTAGGAGCTCCGCGCCAGCCCAACTCCGCGCTCGCCTCGCCGAAGATGAAAAGCCCGTCGAGCAAGGCGACGTCGACCTCTCCGTCGGCCTCCTACGTGTCACCAACTCATTCATGATATCGTGGGAAAACTAAGCACAACAGGCCACCCCCGCCGCCGGCCACCTCGGCTGCGGCGATCGTGCGCCGCAGCATCGCTTGCCAATCACGGTGCAGCAGCACGTCGTCCTCAAACACGAGCGAGAGGGGTGCAGACGGCGGCCGAGCGGCGACGCGCCTCCAGGAAGGTGCATGGAAGGTGGATGGAAGGTTCCGAGAATGCTCGTGGCGGGCTGAGCAGCGGCGTCGCACCTCCAGACGGACTCGTGCGACGCCGCGTTTGCGAGGAAGCCGAGGCCGCTGCCCGGACTGCGCCGCGACACAGACCGCACCTGAGAAAGGGAGAGCCCCGAGACGGCGTTCGGGACAGCTCGTGGACGAAGCTCCGCCGCGAGACAAGCCGCGCACCGCCTCGTCGGCCGGCGTCAGCGCAGACACTCGCGTCGCTGCGAGCCCGCCTCGCCGCAGCGTCGCCTCGACCTGCTCGCGGCGGTCGGTGCGCGCCTAGAAGGCCCAGAGAAGGTTCCGAGAAGGTTCGCCTCGCCGTAGAAGGCCGTACCTCGGCTACATCTCGGCTATCTCGCGCGTCGAGGTTGACGTAAAAGGCTTCCCAAGGCGCGGCGCCGCCGCCGCTCTCTGCCGCGCTCTCTGCCGCGCTCGCCGCCGCGCTCGCCGCCGCGCTCTCCGCCGCCCTCAGTGCCGCGCCGCCCGCAGCCCTCGCCGCGCGCTCGCGCCGGTTGTGCGAGCGCAGCAGTCCGATCGCGTCCGAAAAGGAGGAGCCGTGCGAGCCTGGACAGCTCCGGGAAGGGTCACGGAAAGGGGGGGGGGTCCGAGAAGCGGACGAGAGGCGTGCGAGCCCAGGAAGTGCTCCGCCGCCGCACAAGTGAAGAGGTCGCACACCGCGTCGGAGAGCGCCGTCTGCCGCAGCGAGCCAGCCGCAAACTGGGGCGGCCGCAGGCCGCTCACCCGCCGGCTGAAGACGGAGCTGAAGCGGCGGTGCGTCGCACCGCAGCAAGTTGCGACGTGGACGTTGTGCGCCGCGTGCCGCCCGAGAAAGGCGTCGAAGGCGGCGTCGCTCGTTTGGCCGCGGGCGGCGAACGCGGCGCCCATGTACCTGCGATCAGACATCAACCACTCAAAATGAGTCATTAATCGTGAATCGTCAGGCGGCGCCCATGATACCCCGGCAGGTCCGTCCGCCGCACGTGCACCGCCACAAAGGGCGACAGCCGCCCCACGCGCGCGGACACGGCCGCGGCGATGGCGGCGGTGGGCGCTAGGCACTCGTACGCCTGAATCTCGTCTGCGATGCCAACCTCGGGGTGCGCGTTGTTGACCAGGTCCGGCGTCGGCGCCCAGGACGGCGCCTCGCGCACGAACCGCACGCCCGGCAGCGGCTGGAAGCAGTCGAGAAAGTGGCCGTTGCACTCTGCGTCGGCCTTCCACACGACGACCAGCTCGCGGCCGTCGTTCTGCGCCATCAGCCGGTACGTCAGCACAGCCCGAAGGCGGTTGCACAGGCCGTGGTCCACGCAGATCACCACCGGGCGACGGGACGACTCCTGCGCGGCGAGGCCCTCCACGGCGGCCGCCTGTGCCGCTGCGAGCTGGTCGCTCACGCTGACCAGGTCGGCGCGCAGCGCGGCGATTTCAGCCTGGAGCGCCTGAACAGAGGGAAGGGCGGCCGCAGCAGCCATGCGGCGCCGAGAACCCCCAAAACTCGCGAGACCTCGATACTAACAAAGACTACGATACTGGGGGTACCGCTTCACACCCGCGGGTCCCCTACCGCTCCCGCTTACCCCGCCCCCGGGGCCGAGTCCGTGCCTTGCGGCCGGCGAGATTGCTTCCTAGAGGCGGAGCAGTCTGCTCTAGCCTCACACGTCGCGTGCCCTGTCGCCTGTTTGTGTGTTCCTGCTGGTGTGTTGTTGTTTGTGGACTTGTGCCCTTGGCACCGTGGGTGCTGGGGGGGGGCGACAGGGGGGGACGTGGCCCTGAGTAGCGTAGTGCCGTACGCTCACACGTGCTTACTCGGGATGTGTGGCAGCCGCCCCAGCTGGCTGAGTGTCTTGTGAGCTTGTGTGTGTCTGTGTGTCGCTCGCGCGTGCCGTCCTCTTCAGTCTTCTGTCCCGCATCCACCCATACAGCGTTGGTGTGCAGTCCGAGCCAGACTGTTCTTCACCTGATCATGCAAAATGCGCTAGTCCAGAAGACCCGCTGCAAGATCCCGACTCGCCGTTGCCAAGCGCCCGGCCTGAGAATGTGCCGCGTCGATCAAGCCCCAAATCTGCCAGTCGGCGTGGTGCCGCGACACCTCGACCGCTATGCTGGTGCAGTTTATCCGAGTGAGGTCGGGCGCGCGCTCTCTGCGTCGCAGCTCGGCAAAGCAGCCCGTTTGCTCGACCAGGCACTGAGCCTCCTCGGGAACGCCCAACTGTGAGCTCGCGATGCGTGCCAGAGACATCGGGTCGAAGAAATTGCCGGCCTGGCAAAGATTCGGAGGGCAGACCTGCACCATGACTTCACAGATGGCCATGATGTGCGTCGCCAAAAGGTGAAAGGACAGAGTGCTGAGTGTGAGCTCAGCCTGCAGAGATATGGGCTCGTTATTCATCAGCTCTTCCACCGTCTGGGACGAGCGGCCTCGGATGGTTTCGTTGCCGATGTCCTGAAAGATGTCGCCCGTCGTGACTTCGACCGGCACGCACGCCTGCCCCAGCGGCATCACGAGCTTCGCGCCCTCCAGTTTGGTTGACGCGTCAATGTTGTTTATGCTGAGTGTGCCCACTAGCTTGGAGACTTGGACTGGCACCACGCTCGGGTTGTGCACGTGCACGCAGGCCCGGCCCGTCAACGTGAAGGCCCCGAAAACGTGGTGCCAGCTTGCTGGGGTCGACGAGATTTCGGTTACACCGGCGATATTGAGCGGGCCCAGGCTCGCAGCAACAACCTCCATCCCTGTGAGCGTTACCCACGGTGCCCGCCACGAGACAACAGCCACCAGCAGGTAGCCAGCAGGTAGCCCGAACAGGCACAGGCATGGCCAACGAAAAAGGCGGCAGCGGAAAGGCTGTCCAGCGGGGACAGGTTTAGCAGAGCTGGCCTCCGGAGCGGCGCCAGGGGCAGCGCTGGAGGAAGCTGCCGCTGCAGGCGAGGCGTCTGGCCCTCCGGACCTCCTCCTCTCGGCGCTCGCTGAAGAGTCGGACACTTCGATCATTACATGTACGCGGCTGGCGCATTGGTAGGGCGTAGAGCTGAGGACGGCCGACGCTGCTGGAGATTGTTTCATGGCTCTTACGGAAAATACCCGAGGGTGGACTGCTGACAGGGTTTTTCAGTGTACCGCCGAAGCGCAAGCACTTGGAGCAAGGGAACTGCCACGTTTCAACCTATCCGGTTCTGTTCTACTCCTCTCTCTCTCCTAATCGGCTGGTGCCACAATCGTCAGTCAGCGCCGCCGCCTAGATGAGCTGGAAAAGAAGTAGAAGAAAAGAAAAACGCCGCGCGCTAAGACACGATGGCCTCCCACCGCATCGGCGCCCTCTCGGGCCTCTCGCCAGCGCAGCTGTGCGCCATCATCGAGGCGTAGGCGGGCGCGAGCGACGCCGCGCTGCGCGTGGCGGAGGAGCACGCCGCACGGCTTGTGGAGCAGCCCGAGTGGGTGCTCTCCGAGGTCCTCCTCTCGCCGGACCTCGCCCCGCACATACTCGCCCAGCTGCCGACCACGGAGCACGCCGTCCAAGGGGACGTGCCGCGCATGGCGCCGCGGCTGGAAGGAGACGCTGAAGAAGCGCAAGCGGCCGCGCCTGATCGTGATCGGCGGTTCAGACAACGCTGGACGCGTCATCAGCTCGCTGGAGCGGTACGACCCGTCAACGAACGAGTGGGAGGAGGAGGCTGTGGCGCCGATGCCGACGGCACGAAGGTATGTCGGCACGGCGGTGCTCGATGGCAAGCTCTACGCGGCGGGCGGCCAAGAGAATGAGGCCGACGGCGCAACTTCCAACCTGGTGGAGCGGTACGACCTGGCTACGAAAGCGTGGGAGGCGGTGGCGCCGATGGCGACGGCGCGGGTTGCTCAGGCCGTGGCGATGCTCGACGGCAAGTTGTATGCCGTGGGCGGGTACGACAACGGCCCCCTCAGCTCGCTGGAGCGGTACGACCCGGCGACGAACGCGTGGGAGGCGGTGGCGCCGATGGCGGCGGCTCGAAGTCGCCTCTCTGTGGCGATGCTGGACGGCAAGCTGTACGCTGCGGGCGGGGAGAACGATGAGGAGGAGGACGTGGACGGCGGGCACAACGATGAGGACGAGGAGGCCGGAGAACTCGGCAGCCTCGTCGAGCGGTACGACCCGGCGTTGGAGGTATGGGAGGCGGTGGCGCCGATGGCGACGGCACGGCTCTCTCCGGGCGTGCAGGGCGTCGCCTTGCTGTAGCCGAGCATGGAGTGCAAGGTCAGTGCAAAGCGAGAGCTAGAAAGAAAGAAAAACAACATCCGAATCGCTCTCGATCGCGCCCCCGGGCCGAGTACCTGGTACTGAGGCGGCCGATGCTCTCCGCAGCCTGCGTGCTGATGATCGCCACCACCTCGGCCCTGCAGCACCACCAAGCCGTGGTGCGTGCGCCGCTGTTGCGACCGGCGGCTGCGGCGAGGCATGCGGCGCCAGAGGCACTACTGCCCAAGGCGCTCGCGGCGGTTTTCTTGATCCCGTGGGGCGTTCAGCTGAGCTACGCGGCCGAGGTGTCGCTTGGCATCGAGAACGGTCCCTTCTCGCGCTTCGTCAAGTCGGATGCCGTCCAGCAAGGGCCAAAGATGAGGCGGATGAAGAAGGGCACCAAATCCAAGGTGCGAGGCGTTCGGCTGCCGGCGGCGGCGGCGGCGGCTACCCGCACCTTCAGGAAAAGCTACTCTTCCAAGGAGCTGGAGCCGCTTTGGGGCGCGATGCTCAAGTGTTACGGGTCCGAGGAGCGGGCGCTCGCTGCAGTGCAGGCCAACCCACAGGTGCCACCGCCGCCGCCACCGCCTCCGCCAACGCCTCCGCCAACGCCCGCCGCCGCCCTCGCCACTGCCGCCGTCAGCGCCAGCCCCCTCACCGCCGCCACCGCCGCCGCCACCGCGACCCTCGCAGGTGATCAACCCTTCCTACAGCTTCCCAAACACTATGATCGAGTCCAAGTGCGCCTCCCGCTAACGCCCGCCAGCGCCCGCCGTCAGTGCCCGCCAGCGCCCGCCAGCGCCACGTCCCCACGCTGAAGCCTGGTGGCGGCTTGTGCACCGCCCAGGCGCGTGCTGCGTGCGGCGATGAGCGAGGCGGAGGCGCTGAAGGTGCGAGGAATACCCGAGATGCAGCCGGGGCGTAGCCGAGATGGGCGATGGGCGAAGAGGAGGCGGCGCGTCGAGGCAGCAGTAGGGCGCGCACTCGCGGCAGCAAGGCACACGCACACACACGTCTGGAAGGTGATGCGGCTCAACCCGGCAGTGCTGCAGTGCGGCCCCTCGCTCGAGGTCGAGACTAGCCGAGATTAGCCAAGATTGGCCGAGATTAGCCGAGATTGGCCGAGATGAGCCGAGAGTGGCCGAGAGTGGCCGAGATTGGCCGAGAGGCAGTGCTGCAGTGCGGCCCTTTGCTCTGCTCGGCGCGGCGGAGGTCAGCACACCGCTGCACCCTCCCGGAGCCCTCTCGGGACCTCGCCCCAGGTGCTCGGCGCGGCGGAGATCAAGGCGGTCGCGACGGCGCGCTCCCTCGGCACCCGCCTCCTCCCGCCCAGCTTGCGGGTGCCCGCCCTCGCCCTCGTCCTCGCCGCTCTCGGGTACGTGCTCTCGCAGTCGCAGAACGCCGACGCCGCCGCCGCCGTCGACGCCCTCAAGCCGCTCCTCGGCGCGGGGCTCGCCTCGATCTTTGCGTTCGTGCTCTACGGCGCCGCCAACGCCGGCAGGTCGGCAAAGCGGGCGGAGGAGAAGTGAGGTTTGCGCTACCTACATGTATCATCGCAGTGAGTACTTGTTTGTGGGGCGAGTGTGCACGGCACACACGCGCTCAGTCTGTCGAGTAGGCGCGCAAGTACGGCTTTACATGTACTTGTACTTGTCGTGTCGTCTACGTCATATGTGTATATAAAAGAAAGAGCAAAGACGCAGCCTCGGCCCTCGCCCGCACCGCTGTGCGCTGACGGCGCTGTCTTCGCCTGGGGCCAGGGCGACGACGGCTGCCTAAGCCACGGAGAGGACCTGTCGTGTCGTCGGAGACCAGCAGCTCTGCGGCCCACGCAGCTCCCCTCTTGGTGCTTGGAGCGTGTGAAAGCGTCGTAGCCCTCGCTCCGGCCGGTCGGTCTACGAGTACTGAAGATCCGCAGGACTGGAGCGGAAAAAAAAGCCAGCGAGTGGCAGCTGCCCAAGATGCAAGAAGATCGAGGGGCGCGGCCGACCCCCAAGAAGCGGACGCGACCCCTCGGAGCTCGGTGGCGTCTCTCCCCCAAGACGGCATCGTCCGGGGTCTGAGGACGAGATCGAGGGCACGACTGCCACGAGGATCGAGGTCGAGCACGCTCGTGCCTGTTGGTGGGAGACTGCTGCTGTGGCTTTGTGCAGCAGGACCTGGGGACAGTGGACAAGGATGGACCGTAGAGGTAGATAGAGACACGCGTATCTAGGCGATTGTCATCTCTCCATCTCTTGGCACTTGGGGGCCGCGGAGTCGCGGCTAGCGTTCGCATTGGCTCGCTCTCCCTGGTCGCCCGCCAGACACCGCGACTCGGCACTCGCGCGCTGTCGGCTGTGGCCGTGCCGGCACGTTTCTCTGTGCGCGGCCTCACCGCTCACGCTCGGGGAGACCCGGCGGCCGGGCGCCTCCCCAGACGGGGACGTACACGCGAGAGTCCCGCTCTCTCTCTCTTGGTGAAATACGTTTCTATGGTATACGCGGCTTTGCGACATCTTCGGGAGGGCACACACACTACGCAAACGATAGCAACACACACACACACACACACACACACACACACACACACACACACACACACACACACACACACCACACACACACACACAGACGACGCACAAACCACAGACACGTGTCCTCAAACCCCCCATATGAGCATCCGCTCCTTCCTCCGCGCCTCCTCGCCCTCCACATTTGTGCGCGCGAGCGCGTTCGACAGCTCGTTCTGGTACAGCACGCACGCGCGCAGGTGCGCCTGCGCGAGCTCCTTCACCACGTTTGCGGTGATGGGCAGGCTGGCGATGGAGCGGTGCGGCGCCGCAAAGTCGCGTGCGATGGCGGCGACGAGCGCGGCGCCGAGCTGCTTCACGTGCCGCTCCTGCAAGCCCGCGCCGAGCGGCTGCCGGTCCATCCCCGGGATTTGCCGCGAGAAGCCCATGCACATGTTCATCTTGGTGATGCAGTGGCTCACGTACGCCGTCAGGGCCACCGCCGGCGAGACGGGTAGCTTGTTGGAGGCGCCGCACTTTGCGCGCATCTCGAGCTCCTGCGTGGAGACGGCCGGGTCCGTCCACGCCCGCTCGAGCCGCGTCATGAAGAGGCCCGCCGACCGCTTCTCGTAGAGCTGCGGCTCGACGTCGCCGTCGATGAACGGGTCGAGGTACCGGCCGACCTGCAGCAGCGGGAGGGGGACGTGCCTGGGAAAGGTCTGGGAAGCGACTGGGAGGGGGAGAAGTGGTGTGCGCAAGGGCGGCCCCGGCATGTCTGGGAGTTGTCTGGAACGCGGTCGAGATGCGACGCAAGACGAGGACATGTGTCTAGGACACGTGAGCTGGGAGGTGTCTGGATGAGCCAGGAGACGGGTCGTTCGAGGGTGCACCTGCACGCAGAGCCAGTCGGAGACGGGGGCCGGCACGCCGAGGCCGGCCGAGCCCATCACGACCGCGGCGAGGAAGGAGAGGGGCGCCTGCTCCATGCTCGGCGGCTTGCCGCTGTCCATGCCGAGCGTCTTGAGCTCGGGAAGCTCGCGCGCCCCCATCCGCTCGCGCAGCTCCTGCTCGATGTCGGGCAGCGCGTACTCGGCCTCCATCTCGAGCCGGTGCGCGTGCACGGCGGTCGCGCACAGGGCGCGCGCCACCGCCCGCTTGCGGAAGGGATGGGACAGCCCGGGGCGGGAGGCCTGCTCCATCCCTCCCACGAACTGCTGCTCCACATCGTCGAGCACCGCCATCAGGCAGCGCTGGATCGCCAGCGCCTTTGCGCGCGTCACCGAGCGGAGCGCGCCCGAAGCCATCGAGCCGACGGCGGTGCCGACCTCCTCCTCGCGCAAGCGCTGCAGGTGCGCCTTGAGCGCCTTCATGTTCGGGTCGATCACCTCCCTCTTGGCCTCGAGCACGCACGACACCGCGGCCGCCGCCGCCTTCTCGGCGCGGGCCGCCAGCTGTGACTCGCGGCCCGCGTCAGCGGCCCGCGCGGAGCAGATGGCGTCGTGCAGCTCGGAGAGAGCGCAGCGCGGCTTGCCGCCCTCGCCCCCCACCGCCGCGCGCAGCCGCCACTTGGCCGCCTCCACCGCCAGCGACGCCTCGAGCGAGAGCGTCGCCTCGGCAGCTAGGCGCGCCGCCTCGGCCGCCAGCTCCGCCAGCTCCGCCACGGCCGCGTCTCCGAGCTCGTCCGCCGCCGCGCCGGTGGAGGACGGCGGCGGCGCCTCCCGCCCTGCCGTGCCGTACCGTGGCGTCCCCGGGTCGGTCGGCGTGGGCTCCTGGTGGGTGCTAAGCAGCGGTTTTTCCCCTCGAGCGAGCGAGGTGCGGCGAGGCGGAGCGACCGGATTGACAGGTGTGGTTTTGATGCTGTTCGTTTCAAATTTGCTCGTCAAGTCGGCGACCGAGCCACCACCGCCTGCTTTCTTGCGCCTCCACCGCTCTTGCATGGGAGCCGAGGAATCGCTGTGTTTCGCCGACTTGCTGTGTTCGCCGACTTCTGGGAGCTCCATCTGTGTTCACGTAAACGCGTGTTCACGTAAACGGACAACCCCAGGCCCGTAGCACTGCCTTCTCTCGGTGTTGTGTGCTTCTTGTGATGAGCAGAGGCCATCTTCATATCGCGAAAGGGCTGTCCCCCGCCCTTCCACCGCAAGGACCCAGGGATTTCTTCTACGGGAGCTCGCGCTCGCCTTTCCAAGGTGGGGGGTTGGCCCACCCGGTCCACGGTCCGGGCGCAGCCTTTCTCATTGGGGACCGGGAGGCGCCCCGCCAGGTCGTCGCAAGTGAGCGGCACAGAGCAGCAGCCTGATACCGTAGTAGAGGAACACTTAGTGCCGCCCGGCCCGTGGCACAGCTTGTACTTCCCTCGACCCTTGTCGATGAGCAGCTGCCCTCCGGTGCCTTGCTGCAGGATTTTCCATTTGGGACCAGGATGCGCTCATTCAAAGGTGAGCGAGAACGCCAGCCCACCGACACTGCCGCGAGCAGCCACAATCCGCATCCCAGCCGCAGCACCATTGAATACAGTCAGTGTGGCACCGCGTTTGATCGTTGGCGATACACTCTAGAGAGAGATTTTTAGCAATACCAAACAACTCTAACACTCACACGTCATTTGGGGCCTGGAGCCCTGTTCACGCGCGCGCGAGACGTGCAGACAGGGTTGCCAGGTGAGAGCGAATGGCGCGGTTCACGCCTCGCACAACAGAGAGAGAGATGCGCTCTGCATGGTGGGACATAAAAGAGAGCGAGTACTTGGGCGAGTGCACTCGATTTTTAGCAATACCAAACAACTCTAACACTCACACGTCATTTGGGGCCTGGAGCCCTGTTCACGCGCGCGCGAGACATGCAGACAGGGTTGCCAGGTGAGAGCGAATGGCGCGGTTCACGCCTCGCACAACAGAGAGAGAGATGCGCTCTGCATGGTGGGACATAAAAGAAAGCGAGTACTTGGGCGAGTAGGCCGTGCGGTCGACGCTGCCGCGCGCGACCTTGCGCGCGAGGCGGCGCAGCTTGAGAACGGCGGTGGGCGAGAAGCCGCCGCCGAACGTCTCGTGGAGCAGCAGGTTGAAGTTGTTGCGCTTGACAAAGATCGCGTCGTGGTAGAAACCGCGATGCGCCTTGACGTAGCCGTGGCCGTTCTTGTGGTCGAAGGGTTGGCCGGGCTGCCCGCGCGCCTTGCAGCCCATGTTTAGGCGGCGGGCCTTCTCTTCGGTGTTGCCGAAGGGGTAGGAGTGGCCAACGGAGGCGGGCGTGCCGCCGCTCGAGGCGTTGCCAACGCCCGCCGAGGAGGTCTTGAGGAGGGGCGTCCAGAGCTTGACTTCATTCACCTCATCGCATCCTCCCGGGCCAGCGTGGGGTTCCGCGAGGTCGACCTTGTACCCCTCGTTGTACTGCCGGGTGAGCTCTGGTTTCTCCTTGTCACCGTGCACGACCGGCGCGTTGGCCGGGGCGCGCATCGCGTCCGCCCAGGCGGCGAGGACGCCGTCGTGGGGCCGCCGGTGGTGGGCCTTGTTGTAAAGGTAGTCGCCAAAGAAATCGACTGGCATGCCCCGCTCGAGCGCGACCCGAAGGGTGGGAAGCGCCACGGAGAGCCAAAGGCCGAGCTTCCGCTGGAGCTCGTCCTGGAGGGCGTCGGAGGAGAGGGCGGTGGCGTACGTACCGTCGACACGGACATCGAGGGCTTTGCCGGCGAAAGGCGTTGAGGCGGAGACGAAGCGCGAGGCTTCGCGGTTGTTGACGGCGCTGTCTCCGAGGGACGGGTTGTTCTTGACGTGCACGTCCCGCGCCTTGACGAGCTCCTGGTGCGCGAACCAGTCCTTGTGATTCTTGATGGCAGCGAGCGCCCGCGGCCGCGGGTACGTGGATTTGCAAGTGCCATTGAGAATCGCGTCGGTAGCTGGAAGGGACTCGGGCCCGGGGAGCGGGACGCTCTTGGGGTAGAACTCAGTCAGGTAGCCGCCGCGGACGGTGTGGTACTTGGTTTTGTCGCGGGCGGCGCGCTTCTCGCACACCTCCTTCCAGTCCGAGAGGGCGGACTCGTAGGTGGCGATGGCTGCGGCGATGGTGGGGTACTTGGACGCACCTCCCTCGTCGAGGGCGAAGTCGGGGTTGTGGGCGACGAGGGTGCGCCAGTTCTTGAGGAGCGACATGGAGAAGTCGCTGTCGGCTCGCGTGAAGGCGGTGTCGATGTTGCACCCGCCCATCTCGGTCGGCAGCTGCGCCTGGAGCCACGCGAGGTCGCGGAGCGCCTGGGGCGAGGCGTCGGCGCGAGCAATGCTCTCAAACGACTTGCGGATGCGGTTGTGCGCGAACTCGAGAGCGTCGCACGCGACATTGGGCGGCGTGATGCCGGCAATAGGCCGTGCGGTCGACGCTGCCGCGCGCGACTTTGCGCGCGAGGCGGCGCAGCTTGCGAACAGCGGTGGGCGAGAAGCCGCCGCCGAACGTCTTGTGGAGCAGCAGGTTGAAGTTGTTGCGCTTGACACTCTATCTACTCGAGTACGACGGCTGGCTTTTTTTGTTTTTTAATACGTCGCACGAGCACCGGTTCACACTCGTGTCAGCCATTTTCTGGCGCCTGGCCTGCGGCTTCCTTTCTGCGCTTAGATTTCGCGGAAATCCTGGCTCCTCCCGCCTGTGGCCGTCAAAAAAATAAATGAGTGTTGCGGCCGCAAGACTGGACGCGTCAGCTGCGCGTACATCAGGGAGCTCGGCCCGGTAGCTCGCCGCGTTCAGAAGCTCGCCGCGCTCGCTCGCCGCGCTCGCATGACGGAAGGCATCGCCGAGGCGTACCTGGTCTATCTTCGGTCCATCTGCCCGGAGCGCGAGGTTGGGCAGCTCATGGCTGACCTGTCCGACCTCTGCCAAGCGGGCCGGCTCAGCGCCGTGCATGAGTTGGCAGAGAAGGCTCGAGGCGAAGCGGCGGAGGATGCCCAGTGGGAGCAGGTTAACATGGAGTCGCTCAGCCTGTCGGATGACGAGACTGTGGGCGACGACGGGAGGCTCAAGCCGGCCGCCAACATCGGAGCCAGCAAGCATGCGACCCGCGAGGCGGCGGCGATAGCGCGGGACAAGGCAGAGCGAGAGGCAGCAGAGCGAGAGCGCCACGCCGCTCGTGATTTTGGCTTCGACTCGGTCAACGATTACATCAGGCAGTGCAAGCTTGAGGGCGCACATACTGCCCGCTGCTACCTGTGCGGTCGCTGAGCCTTGTGTTGTGCGACTACACTTGCGTATTGCGAGCGACAGCGAGAGAGGAGTTTTGGTAAAATTCTGTTCGAGTGGTAGTAAATAAATAAAACGGACACGCCATTCGAGGGGTGGGAAACCCTCGAGGTGCTGGCCGATAACGAGCCCGCGCTGGCGCTGTATCTCAGAGCACACACGTGAGCACATGGGCTTTTTGAGGAGCTCGATCCGCCGCCGCCCATGCTGCCGCGCTGGAGGCGCGGCGCGCTCGTCATGGGCAAGGGTTTGTAAACACGAATGAAGACGAGGACGAAACTCGTCTGAAAAAAATAGCGCGCCGCGGATCCACCCACCGCTCGCCGGGGTACTCCACGGCCAAAGTGTCACGTCGATCGTCGAGTCGAGTCGTCCGCGCCTCAATTCGCAAGTCCTCTCGCGTCACTCGTTGCCTGGTCGCTCACGGTACTCTGCGAGCCGCTTCCGATAGTCGGCTGTGCTCGCCTCTTGCACAAACTCGCCGCTCCCCCGCTCGCCACTGATGTACTCCCACATGAAGCCGAGCTCGGTCAGGTCCAGGTGCTTCAGATTGCCCATGCCGTCCTCGGCGCCTGGGGCCCGGTAGATGTACGTGTCGCCGATGCCGTCTTGCCAATGCGGTGGCGCGAACCCACTCTCTGTGTCGATCATCAGAAACGTCGCCAGCTTATTCTGCATCGATGCGCCGCGTGCGCGACCGTTTGGCCGTTCGACCCGCTGGATGGCAAGGCGCACGCCACATTTTGCCAGCAGGGGGCTGCGCTGCACGCGCCCCCACCGCGCATGCCTCAGCGGATAGCTGTTATCCGGTGTGATGTCGGGCGTCTTCGTCGCCGCTCGCTTGTAGGGCGGCGAATGGATAGTCCCCTGGTTCATGACCAAGCCCAGGAACGCGGTACGTTCCAATTCGTCGGCCATCTCCTCTTCGGTCTTGCCAGCCATCCCCCACTGCGTGAGATTGTTCATATCCACGGATTGGCCTCTGCGATTGCCCCGTCCATCGATTAAGTCGCTCGTCACCTCCTCTCGATTGAAGCACGAGTGCAGCCGCGGCAGCAGCACCGCCGTCCACGACGAGCCGAGACCGCCGCCGCCCTCGGCATGGCACGCATACACGAGCTCGTCCTCGAGGGAGGTGAGCACGTGCAGATTCGATGGTTTGATCAGGATGGACTTCAGGCTGGGCGCACTGTGCATGCCCCGTCGTGGCAGCTCGCCGGCACCGGCGTCGACCTCGACCGGCACGCGGCCATTGTCGTTGGGTGGGCCGAGGGCGCGGCCGACCCGCCCATTGTACTGTGCCGCACCTTGCAGCCCATAGATCTCAACCCAGTGAGGGTAGATGGACGGCGCCCCGACCGACGCGGCCCACGCTTGCAGCGTCGGCGAGCGCATGATAGAGAGCAGCCGCGTCTCCATCTTCACGTTCACCATCGGATTTTCGCCGCCCATGTCCTCTTCGATCCAAGGAAATTTCCGGCGCCGAGGACGCAGCGAGTTGAAGGTCTTGCACGAAAGCGCAAACGCGAAGTGGTCATCGGACGCAAGCGCGCGCCATACGCATGCAAGCTCATCGCTTGCGAGCGTTCCGAGCAGCTGGCCATCGTCATCGGACACGTCCAGCGCCGCGACCTCGTTCGCGAGGCTCGTCGCCATCCTCGGCGCGTCAGACCAGGCGTGTTTGCAGGTCTCCTGCTCGTCGTTTCGGCCCGGTGGGGCGCGCGCGATTTAAACGCGGTAAGCGGTGGCGGTGGGGACCCGCGGTGTGAAGCGGTAGCGGTAATCCGGCCTGCGGGCGGCGGAGGTAGCGGCAACACAGGGAGGACCGGCGCTCTGGCGCACAGTACGTATTTATGAGTCTCTTCTACGACATGCGTCGTGTCCCGCCTCTCAAGTTCTGATACCGACGCTCCCTAGCAAGCCCTCGAGCGCGATCCCGGCGCCGCCGGTCGCGGACTTGAGGGCGACGTACTCGGCGAGCCCCTCCTCCTGCGCCGCTCGGGTGGCCGGCACCCCCGCGCGCAAGCGGCCCGCCAGCAGCAACCGGTTCTTCGGCGTGTGCTCCGGCGCCTGTGGGGGGGGTGCCGTCGACGCGCCATGGGCCCGACTCGGGAGGAGAGATCTCTCTGCGACATCGAGAGGCTAGGTCTCGGCAAAGGGCTCGACTATATATCGGCTTGTCTCGGCGAGGTCTCTGCTGGGTCTCGCCACAAACTCGTTGGCGGCGACGCGGTAACCCGCCGCGCGCAGCAGCGCGACGCGCATCGCGTCGGTCACGTGCGCCGCCTGACGACAGGTGGCTGACGCCTCCGCCGGTGCGTGGGACAGAGGCAACGCGTCCGCCACGTGCGCCGCCGTCTCGGATCGCAAGTGCGGCACCGTGTGGATGGTCCGCAGAGGGTGCGACTGCACGAGCCTACAGGCAGGGGGGGCGTAGGGAAGGCTCGGAGGGAGGGCTGGCTCGCCACCGACTCCGACAGCGCGTGCCTGTCCGGCAGCTCGGACCAGCGGCGCGCGAGCTGCGCGTGGCAGCAGGGCGCGCAAGCGATGAGCAGCGAGCGAGCGCGAACCGCCTGCGCGAGGGCGTCGTCGCTGGCCGTGTCGCACGCGTGCAGCGCCACGGCCAGGTGGGGCGGCCTGCAGGGGACGCGTCGCCGGACGTGTCAAGGAGACGTCCAGGCTCGTGCAGCCTTGGCGGAGGGCTGCGGTTGCCCTGGAGGGGCGGCCGCCCCGTCCCTCGGAGGGAAGGCGGCGGCGTGCTCGTCCTCCCACCTAGAGGGAGCCCGAGAAGGCTGAGAGAAGGGGAAAGGGGACGGCGGTACGCGTGCTCCCTTCTCGCACCGGCCCAGCTGCCCGATCTCGCTCCGCCGCTGCACCACCGCATGCGAGAGGCCGAGGGCGTGCGCGCGTCGCTCTGCCCGCTGCACGCGCGTCGCGTCGCGGTCGACGGCGAGCACCTGCGCCGGCCGGCCCCACCGGTGCGCCGCGGCGTGCGCGAGCAGCAGCGAGAGCTGCGACTGGCCGCTCGCCAGCTCGAGCACGCGCAGCGGCTTGCGAGTCGGGCGCGAAGCGTGCGGCGCGAGGTGGCGCTCGACCTCGAGGAGCAGCAGGTTGATCTGGCGGAACTTGCGGACCGCCTCGCTTCCGATCGAGCCGTCCGAGCCCATCAGCCCGATGACGCGCAGCAGCGCCGCGGCGCCTGGCTTGTCGGGCGAGAGCGGCAGATCCCGGCCTGCGCTGAGCGCCTGGAGCCTCTCCGGCGTCCAGTACCGAGCGGAGCGCTCAGCGAAGGTGGCGGCGAAGGACGAGGCTCTCGCCGACGGAGGACGGCCAGGCCTGTTCCCTCGCACGCGGCGGAGCAGCGGCAGCATTCTGAGTTGCTGCGGGCTCGCTGCTGCGAGCCTGGCTCACTCTAGCGGCGAGGCAGCCCGGGCCGGCTCACTCTGGGTACGACCGTGCTCCCTCTTCCTCGCCCCCGGGGCCCGGAGGTGCCCACCGCGGCTGCAACAGAGGGTGGGGGGTCTGAGGCAAGGGGGCCCAGATCTGCGCGTCTCAGAGGGTACCCTCTGTGCCAAGAGAGGCCGTCCACGAGCGGCTCAGAGGGTACCTGGGCCGACCCTCTGAAGGCCTGTGCCCCCAAGCCAGCCTCTCTCAGCGCAGCCTCTGAGGCTACGGGGACCCTCTGAGACGCCAAGGCAAGCCCCGCGAGTTGCTCCTCAGAGGGAGTTTTCAGCGGTATTTCAAGTCTGTCGTGATCCCCCACCAAGCAGCGAGAATCCCCCCCCAGCAGGCCCAGCTTCCATTGATTGGTTTCGGATACCTCAAGTTCGAGTTCACTAGGACGCCGCGGCGCCTCATGGCCAAGCTGGAGCAGGGGACGGATGTGGAGATCACTACCTCCTCCTCGGGCGGCCGCTCCAAGCACATCCTCACTCAAGTTGACGGGTCGGCGGCGCCGCTGGCCGCGCGAAGCTGTCGCACGCGCAGGGCTCGGCGCGGGCGCTGTGGGCGAGCCTGCAGCAGCAGCAAGCGTGTGTGGTGCCGGGCGCTCGAAGCGTATAGAATAGCGCCTTAGTCAATGCTCGCTGCTTCCGCCCCCTCCCCGCCCTCCCTGGTCAGCGCCGTTCGTGGAGGGCTAGGCGCTCCGGCCTCCGCCCGGGGCTCTCGCCTCTGTCTGCCGAGAGGGGGCTACCCTCTGAGGTCAACGCCCTCTGTGCCGCGCCAAGACAGACCCTCGGCCGGGGACCCTCTGAGGCCAAAATCAGCCAAGAGAGGCCACAGAGGCGGCACAGAGTCAGAGTCAAACCCTCTGTGCCGCCAAGCCAGGGGTCCGACCCATTCTCAGAGGGAGGTCTGAGGCCTCAGAGCCTTTACAACCCCCTAGTCCGCGGCCTGCCAGGCTGTGTACTTATTTTTCACGCTCGCCGCCGCACCGGCTCACGGTGGCTACATGCTACCGGCCTGGCCTCCGCACCTAGGTCAACCTCGTTCGCGTTCGATCTTGGAGCACTTGGAGTGCAGTCGGCAACCTCACATCCAGGGCCGGGGAGCTGAGAAGCGCACCCAGCGAGCCGGATGATCGGCATCGGGCTACGGCTTCGATGAAGCTCTTTCCACTCCTCATCTTTCTTGCCCCTAACTACCTAGCCATGCATTTAGAAAGAGAGGAACTCTTCTCGAGAGATTTTTAGCGTGTTTTTTGTTCTGCATGTAGGAGAGAGTTTTAGAGAGAGGGATGACGGATGTTGAGTTTTAGGAGAGAGCACTACCCACTACTCTGAGAAGAGATTTCTTGTTGGTTTTGAGAGATTTTTGAAGACCAACAAGAAATCACGACCCGCACAGTGATTCAAGAGCGCATCTCTCTCTCTGTTGTGCGAGGCGTGAACCGCGCCATTCGCTCTCACCTGGCAACCCTGTCTGCACGTCTCGCGCGCGCGTGAACAGGGCTCCAGGCCCCAAATTACGTGTGAGTGTTAGAGTTGTTTGGTATTGCTAAAAATCTCTCTCTCAGTGATTCTCTCTCTCTTGCTTGGTTTTCAAAAATCTCCAAACAAACAACAAAATCTCAAGAAAAAATCTTTCCCTTGTGTCCCAGCGTGTATGAACGCGCGCCAAAGGAGGCGGCAAGTAAGGTGGCACGCCCTGTCAGTACGCGTCGAGCAAGCCTGGAGCACGCTCACGTGATATCCGCCGCCTTTGCCCAGCGTTTCGAGCGAAACCTCTGGGAAAGCCGCTGTCCGCCGAGCCCCACTCCTTGAGCCGACAGCTTCTCTCTGCCTTCGATCTCGACTTCTCCATGCTCGCCCTCTCCATGCTCGCCTACGGGCAAACCATCGCCGAGGTCGCCTGCGGCACGAACGGTCTCTCCACCCTCTGTACCGCGATCAACGAGTCTCCCACGGTCCTCGCCGCGCTCTCCGCCGCGGGCACCTACACGGTCTTTGCTCCGAACAACGACGCGTTTGCCGCTGTCCTCTCGGGGGCGGCGCTGACAGACCTGCTTGCGGATGAGCCCAGCCTCACCAACCTCCTCCTGAAGCACGCCCTTGACTCCAAGGTGGACGCCACGACCGCGCTGACGCTGAACAACGACCGCGTCGCCACCATGCAGGGGAACGAGCTCACGGTCGATGGCTCCACCGGCAGCGTTCTCGTCACGCGCACCTTCCTGGACGGCCCGGCTGCCAAGGTTGTCAGCGCCGACATCATGGCCAGCAACGGCGTGATCCACGTCATCGACGCCGTGCTCAACCCGCTGGGCATCGAGTGGTCTGGCACATTCGACGTCACCAACCCGGCCACGGGCGAGGCCTTCGAGACGCTCACCTGGTCGGCGCAGTCGAACGAAGAGGGCGAGTACCCCGACGCCACGATGCTCATCGCCGTCATCCAGGGCAACGTGGACAACTCCTTCGACGGCAACGCGCCTGGCCTCTCCTACTCCGTCGAGACCGCGGGCAAGAAGGTCATGGAGGACGAGGCCAAGTGCCCCCTTCTTTCGTCCGGCGAGATCAGCATTGCGATGGGCAATCCGCCGGCTCCGTGCTACAAGCTCAAGTTCCCCTGCGAGATGGAGACGGAGGACGGCCACGAGCACTGCCACGCGACTGCGCACACCGCCGTGTGGACGATCCCCAACCCGAGCGGCTACAAGAACATCGCCATCTTCGCGCAGCACTACCCGACCGAGTTTGAGCGCTCGCTGCACTACCTCAAGGGCCCGGGCGGCGAGGACATCGAGCCGGTCAACGAGATGCCCGAGCCGGAGGAGCGGGAGAAGCGGTGGGGCGCCGCCATCGGCGCCGCCTTCATCGTGATGGTGTGCACGCTCATCGGCGTCATCTTCCTCGCGCCCCTCTTCGCCAAGCTCCAGAAGGAGCGCGAGGCGCTCGTCAACGTGCTCGCCTCGGCCTTCGCGGTACGCCTCCCACCCCTCGCCGCGCCCGCCGCTAGTCGGCCGGCGCCGCCCACATAGTCGGCCGGCGCCGCCCACAGTCTCACCCTCGCCCCCACCCCGCCGCCCCACCAGGCCGGCGCCCTCCTGGCGGCCGCCTTCTACCTGATGCTGTACGAGGCGACCCACCTCATCGCCATCACCGACGACCGCACCGAGGCGCAGGCTTCGGCGTGGTGGGGCTCGGCGACCCTGCTCGGCTTTGTCAGCCCCTTCATCCTCGAGGCGATCGTCTCCGCGGTCATCGGCAAGGCCGCGCCCAAGCAGGAGGTGCGCAAGGAGGCGGACGCCGAGGCGGCCAAGCCGGCCGCCGTCGTGCCGGCGCCCAACTCGCGCAACAAGGTGCGCGTGCTCTCCGGCGTGCTGCTGGGCGACTTCCTGCACAACCTGGTCGACGGCTTCTTCATCGGCGCCGCCTTTGCCAACTGCGACTCGTCGATGGCGTGGACGATCACCGCCGCCACCGTCTACCACGAGCTCGCGCAGGAGATCTCCGACTACCTCGTGCTCACCAACCCGGAGCAGGGCGGGCTCAAGCCCTTCATGGCGCTCGGCCTCAACTTCCTCTCGGGCATGTCCGTCCTCTTTGGCGTCTGCATCGTCCTCTCCGCCGAGCCGTCCAACTTCTCGACCGGCTGCCTCCTCGCCTACGGCGCCGGTGTGTACCTGCAGCTCGCGGCGACCGAGTGCATGCCGCGCGTGCACGAGTACGCGACGACGCTCAACATGCGGCTGGGCGGCCTCCTCCTCTTCATCATCGGCGCGACCGCCATCGGCCTCGTCCTCCTCGACCACGAGCACTGCGCGGGCGAGGGCGGCCACGAGGGCCACGGCCACTGAGCCGGGGTTCGCTGATGCGGCGCCGCGGGCTGCCCGCTGAGAGGCCGGAATGCGGCTGCAGCGGCTGCGGCTGAGCGCGCGTCGCCTGACACATATTGTGGCGCCCCCGACGGCTCAAAGCCTCCACGTGGGGGCTTTGCGATGTCGGGGGCGATAGCTTTACGGAATGTCAACTCTGTCGCTCTCCCTATACCCGTGTAGACTAACTGTGCGTCTTCATAAAGTGCTATTGTGTGCATATTACTCACCTACGTTACGGCTGCGAACCCCGCTGTATATCGTCCGGGTTATAAACTATAAATCAATAATGTGTATCGGTCCCCGGCTATGCATCTCGCCAGACACGCCACTCTGATGTCGTGATGTGTGATTTATTTCTCGAGTCTCTCGGTATCAAATGTCCTATCGGCCCACTTGAAAGTGTGACCTCCCCGCCCTTAGTTGCTTGTAAAATCGTAACGGAAATGGTGTGCTGACTTTTGGTATCACCCCCCAAATCAGAATGCGCATTCCACCAGCCGATATGCGCCCTAGATCGCCTCCAGACCAAAGAGAAGTACCGCGCAAGCAGCGCCGATGTCGGCGCGGCCCGCTTAGATGACGTGTTCGGCGTCGGCTCCCGGAGGCCACCAGAAACCGCGCCTCCCCCCAAACGGACGAAAGAGGTGCGCTATTGAACCCCGTCCCTGCGTTCTGGTGCGGACGGTCGAGGAGTGGTGCGAGGCCGGTCCCGCTCAGGATATCGTCCAGGAGTTGCCTCTGAAGGATTTGGAGGGGCCCAAGCTGCTGCCGTCCTATGCGAGGGGAGTGCAGGCGGGATACCAAAGTAGAGCAGCGACGGCGTCAAAGGCATCGCCATCGCCACCGTCAACGGCAGCGCATGCGCCGGCATCGGCGACAGTAGTGGGGTGGTGTCGGTGTGGGGGAAGGGGTTCGGCATTGGAGCGGGGGCAAATGCGCCGGTGGCGTTGGCGGTGGCGGTGGCGGTGGTGAAAGGCACCGACTGCTCAAACGGGCCTGCGCCTGACCCCAACATCACGCCCGAGGCCGCGGGCGCGCAGGAGACGCCTGGCGCTGCCGCGCTCGGCGCTGCACACGCGGGCTGCCAGCGCATCCGCGGCGGCTCTGGCGTCGCGGGCAGTCCTATCAGCGGCTCGAGGGTTCGCCCGACGCGAAACCTAACCCAGCCGCTCTCCCCGGGCGGCATCGCCGCGAGGCCGGCGAAAGTCGCCGTCGTCTCTTCCCGCAGGATCACGAGGGGAGGCCCCGTCGAAGAGCAAACCTGGTTCACCACCCGGTGCTGCGGCCACCCATTGGCGCTGCCCTCGTTCCAGATGCCGCCGGTGTGCTGGTTGGTCGGCGCGCGGCCGCACACCACCCGCAGGCGGGAGGCGGCGACGATGACTCCGCGAGCGCGGCACTCGCTGCAGAACCGCTCGCGGAACGCAGGCCCGGCCTTGCGCGGCACTACTTGCGCGCAGTGCCTCATGCCGCCCGACAGCTCCTGCCCCCAGCAGAAGGCGAGGTTGAAGTTGGGTGGCGGCGCAGACGCGGCTAGGCCGCGTGGTCTGCTAAACTGGCCCGAGGAGCGGTCAAAGTGGCGGGCCGCCTCTCGGCGAGCACTCTCCGACGCTTCGCCGCCGCCATCGCGCCGTGCCAAATCAGCGACCTCTGATAGGCAGAGGAGCCCCGCGTGTTGCTCGTCCTGCTCGTTGCCTGCCGGAGCTGCGGGCGGGGTCGGTCCAGGATGCATGACATGCCTCATCTGTGTCGTGTTAGGTCGGAGACCGAACGCCGAAGTTGGCCGTCGGGAATCTCTCCGTGGTCACTCCGACCCCCACACTGCTGTGAAGAGGGACGTAACCCACACTGTGACCTCGGAGCAAAAAGAATTTTACAAGCCTCGGGCTCTCTTGCCCGCAACCCGATGCCAATCATCCGTCCGGCCCGCTGGGTGTGCTTCTCAGCCCCCCGGCCCTGAGAGAGAGAGAGAGAGAGAGAGAGAGAGAGACTTCACACCGGTGGGAGGCACCGAGGCGTCGTGGGGACGCTCTTCTGTTCAGTCGACGCTCGTCGTCCACTGAGAACTCAGTGGTTGTCACCACTTTGTATTCTTTAATATTAACCTTGCGAACTCGTCCCCCCCGGCAGGGCTATGCAACTGTGACCAGTGTGTGCTGTCTACGCCTGAACCAGGTGTCAAATCTGCCGATGCGTGACCTGTGCGTGGGCTGCTCTGTGAGGGGTCCAGGCGTAGTCCGACGGGTAGGGGGTCTGTGCCCGGGCGGTGTCCGGTGCGGAGTCTCTCTCTGATCCCGCCTGGGATGTTGGGTGCGAGGTGTGGCGGCTTCGATCCCAAGGGGGGGAGCTGATCCCACTCGGTAACCAACTCTCAGGGGCAGTAGGTGGGCGAGCTTCAAGCGCGCTCATCTCGATCGTCAAGGCGTCGCTACGCGCGGTCTTCCGCGGGGGGAGCTTCGTCGACGGGTGCGGGACTGCGGCGCAGACAGTGCTGCGGCAATGCCTCCGGCTGCTGCGGCGAGTGGGGTGCTGCTCGCTGCGATGGCGAAGAACTCGTCTCGTCACACGCCAAGGGCTTACGCTCTGTCGAGACGTGAGGCGTATGCGCCCAGGAGGGGAGGGCGCATGTGTAACGACACTGCTAGAGATGCCTTTCGGGGCCCAGAGATAAAACTTCTGATGCCATGCGTGACCTAGTAGTGTCCCCAGCTATGGGAGTGTCCACGTTGGAGCCAGGTGTGGTGTGGACGCGAGAATAGCTCCGCCGTTCATGGAGGCAACCGATGCGAGTCGACTGGTGTGTGTCGTCGTGGTTTCGTATCAAGAACTCTCTCTCTCTCCCCGGCCCTGGATCGGAGAAGTGTGGTGCTAGCCGTCGCCCACCCTCGGGCGTCTACCACTTCCTATCTCTCTTCGCAGTTTCTCACCAATTCTCGCAGCGAGCGACCTCATGCCACCTCTCGTTCACGTTCTTCCCACTCTCGTCCTCGTTCTCTCTCCTGCTGTTTCATCCCCCGACGTCGTCAAATGTGGCTCGCCTGTCCTTCCCCCCTTCTCATCTGGCAATCTCATCTTATTGTCCCATGGGTGTTTGAGGCTGGCTACGGCCACTTCGCTCCACAGCCGTCCCGCCATCCCTGCCGTGTGCGATCCCGGCCTCACGCACCGTCTTTCGAAATTGCTCGCACACCCACTCATGTGCGCTAGTGCGCTCTGGCGTATGTGCCCGTATGTCCGTCGGTCCACTATAATCTCCCTCTTCTCCGGGTCCTCTGCCGCCTCCCTTCTCACTGTGTACATGCACGGCCGAGTTCGCACCGCGTCCCGAACCACCTTCGAGGCGTCCTCCGTGTCGTCCTTTCCGAGGTATGCTGTCGCCACTGCGTCGGCGTATGCGTTGCAGGCTATTCCCACGTGCGATGGCACCCACACGAAGACCACCGCCTCTAGCTGCGATCTATAGTAAGCAATCGCCTCTAGGAGACCGCCTCTCTCCCAGTCCCTCAGACCTTCTGGCATCCCTTTGCGGTGCGCATTCTCAATCTGCTGCAGCGCGGGTTTGCAGTCGCATAGTACTAGGCACCGCCGCGTCTGTGCGTCGCTCGCGCTCGCCATTTTGCGTATGTATGCGAGATCGCGTACATCTCCGCGTCTATCACCTCCCACGTGTTCGGCAGCTTTCCTCCCCACATGCCCGCCCCAAGGGCTGTCCGTATCTCCTGTTCGTCACAGGGCCCGATTCCGTTGGGGTCCCTTACCTGTGCGTCTCCCGGGACGCGCCTCCCGAATCGTGTCGGTCCTTCGAAGACGCCGTACGCCACACCCTAGGGTTCGGCACGTGTACTTTCTATCCTCCGCCATTTCGTCTTCATGGTCCTTTCCTCCGTCCGTCGCCGCAAAGTGTGTGAACTGGTGTGATACGTGCAGCGCGAGGCATGTCTGCGCTACTTTCACATTCAGGGCTCGCCCCCTTCCCGGATCGGAGCGGCTCGCTGTCTTTTCCCATCTTGATTTGCGCTCCTTTGCCGTCTCTCAGCTCTCCCCCCGTCTCAAATTCGTCGTATCGAAGCAAGAAGCACGTCAGGGGTCGCGGACGTAGGGCAATTCCCCCGATCAGACTGGACTCCCCCGAGGGGAAGCGAGAGGTTCTACTCGTGCGAAATGTTTATGATCGAGTCGCGCAACGAGAAGAAGGAGGACGGCTTGAGGTCGCCCTTGACGGAGTCGAGGCGCGGCGCGGAGCCGAAGGTGTGGACCCCTTTGCCCCATGTCTGCGCGCTGGGGTGGCCCTGGAAGCTGGATCTCACCGGAGATACCATCATGGAATTGGCAGCCCCATGCGGCGCGCCCTTGTCTCGGGCGAGGAGCGGCTCCGTGGACCACAGAGGGGCAGAGCCGAAGGTGCGGACCCCTTTGCCCCATGACTGTGCTGGGGTGGCCCTCGGCATGGAATTGGCAGCCCCATGTGGCGCTCGCAGATCTGCACGCAACGAGAAGAAAATGGAGGCCTCGACCTCAACAACCACAACGCTCAAGCATGTGCGAGATGTGTGCGGTGCACGCCCGTGGGGGCTGGCGCTGGGGCACGTGGGGGGGCCTGGGCGGCGGCGGCAGGTTTGGCTTTGCATGGGGAGCCCGGATTTCTCTCGCACACGGCTTTACATGTAGCTCTTCTCTAGTGTGAGGGTATCCAGTTTCCTGCAACACGACTAAAGCAGCGTGGCGACACGCGGCGGCCGCCCCGCGCGACCCAAACCCTGTACTGGCCACTGGCCACTGGCCCGTGCCTACTACCGCGCCCGCCGCCCATGCATCGCTAGGCCGCGCCGCCTAGTCGCTGTCCGAGTCCGAGCCAGCGGCCGGCTTGGCCGGCGCCGCCGCCTCGGACGAGTCCGAGTCGTCCGCGGCCAGGCTGGCTCGCTGCTTGGCCTTGTACGCCTTCATCTCGGCCTCGTACCGCTCCTTGTCCGCCTTGGCCTTGGCGTCCCACGGCGCCTTTGCCTCGGCGTCCATCTCCTTCCACTTTGCGCCGGCGATGCGGCCGATGTCGGTCACCTTTGCGTCCGGGTGCTCCTCCTTGATGCTCGCGCGGGAGGCGTTCATCCAGAGCATGAATGCCTGCTCACGGGCCGGCGGGTGAGGAGACGCGCGCCGCGGGGAGTTGGGGTGTGGTGCGGCGCGAGCGGGCGGGCGCCGACATGCCGCGCTTGGGCGCGTCCTTGTCCTTCTTCT